CTTCGCCTCCTTGTTGGGCTACTGACCCCCCCCCCAAATGTAGTACTATTATAGCTATATTATACATATACCAGCTAATTGCATATTGACTGAATTCTTTTCCTATTTTTCTAATTTCTTTCCTATTTATTTGCCCTGTCATATCCCTATTGTTACTCCGTTTTTATTTATGTACCTATTAACAAACATAACACTGTACAATAGATATCATAAATAAATAAACAAATAAATAAATAAATAAATAGTCTAGAAGTAGAGCAGAATTGTCACCCTTATTACTCCTTTATTGCGTACCTCCGTCCATTGGTAGGTGCGCAACGGTGACAACTTTATTTCATGGTCATTGCCACGTTTGGCGATCAGTGGAATAGCCACTAAATAACCAACGACCTCTTAACTTCAGACCGGATGATCTACGTCAGCAATAAAAGGTGGTGATTAATGAATTTCACGGCCATCAAGGCGAATCTTCAAAAACTCTCACCAAATTCGCAATCGAGAGATCGACTATCTGGCTTGTAATCTCAGAGACGTTAATCTTTTCATTTGCTTTCAGTTAAAAATGAAAGTTCCAAGAAGAATAAGTTAATCTTCTACGCACCTAAAGACACAGCTCAGGCAGAGTTGTGTGAATGATTTCCTTCGGTCTAGGCCGATGTCAGACTTTGCGAATCGCGCGATTCGCTAGCGTCCGCGGTCGCGTTGCGGTACCAGCCAATTGAGTGATTCACTGGCCGCGACGCGACCGCGGACGCTAGCGAATCGCGCGAATCGCAAGTCGCGCGAATCGCAAAGTCTGACATCGGCCTATGGAATCTGCTGATAGTTCACAAGAAGAATCTGTGCTACATTAACAGAAGTTACAGTTTGTTGACCAGGGGAAGGTGAAAGTCTGGGTACAGAATGGACCCTGCTGGCCAAGTCTACTGACTTGATGTACAAGATCACAGGGAAGCTAAAAGTAGAACATTGAATATTGGTTGCTTGATAGCAGCCCCGCCCAACCCCATTGAACCCGCCCTGCTAATCAGTGCTGTTTTTTGCTGCTAC